TCCTCCAGCTCTGCAGCACAGCCATTTCCAGTATGGTGTAAACATGGAGTCCTGGGCTTGCTGCCTTGAGGTGGAGATACCTAGGTTGCGCTGACAGTAGCACCTTGTTGCGCAGTAGTACCTCACAGTGTAGGTGGCATGGCTGTTTAACCACTCACCCTTTTGAAGACACCTGAGTTGTCCTGTTTTTGTTGTAAATGCTTACAGAAGTCTTCATTTCCCTAACATAAATTGCCAGGAACTTAGTCACGGAGTCCTGTGGTAGGCGTGTGTTCCTTGTTTTAAGAAACCGCCAGTCTGTTTCCTAAAATGTCTGTGCTCTTGTCTGTTCCCACCGGTGGTGAATGAATGATTATATTGGCATTGTCCCCATTTATTTTAACCATTCTGGTACTTGTGTGATGGTGTAATTCTGGTTTAAATTACATCTCCTTAAAGTAGTGATGTTAAGCATCTTGTGTTTCTATCTGCTTATCTACTGCAGTGAAATGGCTTTTTTTCTCAATTGTTTGGTTCTTCCTGTTGCTTGTAGTTCTTTTTATATTTTAGTTACTAGTCCTGGGTTAGAAATACTTTCTGCCAGTCTGTAGATTGTCTCAACAGAGTTTTTGCCAGACAAATACTGTGTTGTGAGTTTCTGTTTTACAGTATCAGCTTTTCCTTTTATGTATTATGTTGTGATTATTATGTGTTTACCTAGCTCTACATTTCAAAGATTTCCTCTGTTTTGCTCTAGAAGTTTTTTTTTGGGGGGGGGGGTTCGTTTTTATCGGTACCAGGGATCGAACTCACGACTGCCTGCTTGCAAGGTAGGCGCTTATGCCACTGAGCTAAGTCCCCAGCCCCTTTGCTTTAGAAGTTTTACAAATTTGCTTTTTTTTTTTGGTCTTTTTGAGACAGGGTTTCACTGTGCAGTTCAGGCTGGCCTCGAACACATAGTGATCCTCTTGCCTCAGCCTCCTGAGTGCTGGGATTACAGGCATAGGCCACAGTGCCTGCTCAGATTTATATTTTATACTTAAGTTGTAGATCCGTTTTTCAGTCAGTGTTTGTTGAAGCTGCCCAGTGTTGTGCTCCAGTCCTGTCTGTTGAAGGTATCACCTTTCCTCCTGTAGCCTGCATCTGCGCTTCCCTCCCAGTCAGGTGAGTGTGTTTGTGCAATCTGGCTCTGGTTCTGCCATCCCACTCGTCTGTAGACGTGGATGTTGCCTTCTCAGTCTTCCAGGTGTACTGTTGTTTCTTGTTTTTAAGATGATGGATTTTTATAGATGCTCTTTGTCAGCATGGGAAGGATCTTTCTTCTGGATGAGTTCTTACCACCAGTAAATTTGTTTTTTTTGATTATGTATATTCATTGTTGTGATAATGTAGTTTTCCTTATTTAGTCTGTTATTATATATTACCTTGATTTTTTTAAATATCAGTAACCTTGCAGCCTTAAGTGAAGCCCATCGGGTTGTGGAACATACTAATCTTAGTGGGTTTTGCATCTTGACAACAGACAGCCCTCAGTGTGCGGATCTCAGCTCTGTGGTTGTCCTCATCCAATTTTCATGCCCACATGACTCCTTAGGTGATAAGTTGGGCTGTGTTCCCTCCTCTTCCCTGGATGAGACTGTAGAGAACTGTGCAATACTTGAAGTGTTCGGTAAAATTCGTTAGTGAAGCCATCTGGTGCTGGAGATTTCATTCTGAGAAGTTTAAAAATTACATCTTCATTGCGTTTAGCAGTGAGGGGACTTTCCTGGTTGTCTGCTTCGTTCACACTGGGTGGTTTTGGTTAATGTGCTTACTAGAAGGACATGGGAGTAGTAGTGATGGTCCCCCGTTACTTAGGCTGCCTTCTAGTCCAAATCCCCACCTTTGCTCTGATACCAGGCATTGTGTTGTCTTTTTCCTGTCAGTCTTGCTGAAGGATTGTCAATTTTATTGATTTCTCTGTTTTCTTGTTTTCAACTTCATTGACTTTACAAAAGCTCTTCATTGTGCTTGCTTTGGGTTTATTATAATTTAGTTTCAGCAATCACCTATAATTTAAAAAACTTCCTTCAAGACAGATTGCTTGCCACAGTGCCTGTGCTTTAACACTCCTGCGTGGTGGAAGGACCCCAGTGGTCTGTCTGTCTTCTCCCACACTTCAGGACTTCAGCATATTCCCTTGGTGCAGATCCGCTGATCTCCACTTAATTCCTAAAGGATATTTTCCTGATTCAAGAGTCCAGATTGATAGTTTTTCTGTTTTTGTTTTTTTCCCAGTGCCTGCCAAACTTCCAGTCTTTCTTGACCTCCATGATTTCATGAAAAACCTGCAGCAGTTCAGTCCTTTTCCCCTGTAGCTTAACACAGCTTTTCTATCATTATTACAAGATTCCTCTTTGTAATCGGACATCCAATTATGATGTAGGTTTGGAAAGTCTGTTATGATTGGAATTTCACTCAGCTTCTCAAATCAGAAAGTTTAAATCTTTTGCGAAATTTGGGATGTTTCTAGCAATTGTTTATCTCTGCCGTTATATGTCTTTATGATGACTCAGATGTTCTCAAAGCTGCATTCTTGTTTCCCTCTTTAAATGGGTTGATTTTTGTTCAGTGACCTTCTTATCCTGTCTCCTCCATTTTGCTGACCAACCCATCCTTTGCAGTCTTTAAAAATACATCTTTCAATTCTAAGATTTACAGTTTTTTAAAATCTTCTGGGGTTTTTTTGTTTTGTTTTGTTTTTTTGGTGAAACTTTCTTTGTTTAAGCTTGTTTGTCACTGGTCACTGAAGCATTTTTATCAGGAATGCTTTAAAGGTTTTATCAAATAACTTGGTAATCTTGAAATTAGCCTCTGCTGATTATCTTTTTCATCAGTTTGGGATTTTCCTGGCTCCTATTTGACCAGTGACTTGGATTGAAACCTAGACACTTCCTTATCATGTCAAGGGACACTGGATCTTATTTAATCCTTGTCTGAACTGATTCTCCATGACTCCACTGCAGCAGCAGAAATGGGAGCAGCACTGTATTCCTACGGTGATGGTGAAAGTCCAGGTTCCCCGCATGGCATGACCTCTGCCGACCCCTGAGATGGGAGTGCCCTTGTTCCTGTAGGGCACCTGCGCTGATCCACATGACCATTGGAAGACGAAGTTCTGACCCCACTGGGGTGCCTGTAGCACTGTCACCCCCATGCAAGAGTGGGAGGGGCCCTGCTGCCGCCCACGGAACTGGACCTTGGGTCCCGATGTTCCCCTCCTTGGCCTTCTCCTGACTCCATAGCAGGGGTGTTGGTGGATTGGGCTAGCGTGGAACCAGCTTCATCTGAAAGATCTTGAAGACATCATTGAGTAATTCTTTTAACTATTCCAAAGCAAAAAGGAATGTAATAAGAATGGCTGGTTCTACATTTTTGCATCTGTCTCTGGCTTAAAATTTGTCCCCTTATGCTTTGTTGTTTTGGAGTGGTAGAAATACAGGGAGAAATCTGGCCTTTTCCTGACATTGCAGGAAGAGAAATAACCTTGCAGATGCCCTCAAAGGGCCTGGGGAGCCCTCATTTTACGGACTGATCTGTAACATCTTACAGGTGAAGGAGCAGTAGGAAAAAGCCAGGCCTTGTGCGCCTGGCAGCCAGTCCACCTTCAGTGGTGTCTTGCTGCTGCCAGATCCCACAGTGGCTGTGAATCTGAGCATGACCTTGGCCCCATGGATCTTGGAAGATCAGCTCTGACCTGATCATTTTTGATAGAGAGGGTATTCTTGTTCTAACATTTCAGTTATTATTAACTTTTCAAAAAGAGACCATATTTGTTTTTATTAAAAAGAAATTTTTTACTAAATTTGAGGTTTTTTTCATGTTCATCTTTGGAGAAAGAATATTAGGAACAAAAGATGCTGGCTGTGAAATGGGCTGTGTTGGTTTGCATGAGTGACTTATGCATTGTATTATTCTTTTGTAATGAGCTGAATTTTAACAGGAATATAGATATATGAATTCTTAACTTTATTAAAAGCAGATCACATTTTTAGATTTCTGGATAGAAAATCCAGCCTTCATTAGGTAACATTTGATTTACCTTAATTTACTGCTTCTTTTAAATTTTGTGACTTTGAGTGAATGTTCCCATTTTTCGTCCTGATGATGAGGGCCTGCTATCTTGTCTTTAGTGGCTTTAGTGGCTCAGCCTGTGGCCCACTGACACAGTGTGACGGTCTATGCTTTCTCTTCTCACCCTGCCACCACAAGAAAGAACCAGCTACCAGAAATAGTTGTGTCTCATTAAGGACATAGTGCCAGTTTCACAGAGGTTTGCCTTAAATTCTGAGTCATGAACATGCATAAAAACATTCCATGAGAATTGACACATCCGGGTGAAAGTTTCAAACAGAATTGAGTTTTAGCAGTAGGAAAATGGTTACAACATAAGCTCATTGATAGTTTTGGATCAGAGGCATCCTTGCAATGGGCTTGGTCCTTGTTAGCTGATGTGTTCCAGTCATAATAAATGCAGCAGATCTTTTTGTCCTCTGGAAAGATTAATTCTACTCCATTTATATCCCCTTTAAGTCACCGCTGCACTTGTGGGGCCTGTTTTTTGCCTGGATAGATATAATGTTGCTTCTGTTTTGTTTTCTTTAATGTCTTAGGGCTCTTGTGATTTCACTTGAGGGTAAATAATACTTCTGGGCAATTTCTAGGAGGCAGTTCATCTCTCTCACCTTTTCCACTTGTTCTAAAGTCAACTGAGCCAGGCAGATGCCTCACGGACAGGGTTGTCTGTTGGTGAAAGGAAGTGACAGTGAGTATCCATGGGGCCCCATAGTTGACTCAGAAGGTAGCACAGTGTGCTGAGCATGTCAGAGATAGCAGGTGAGTTTCATCTACAGAATATCCTGCCTTTCTGTGAGAACATTCTCTATGTGCGTGGCTCAGCTCAAGAGTCAGGGCTCTCGTGCAGAGCTGGAAACATGCAATCCGACTGCTTTCCTCATGCGGGACTATGACATTCCTTTCAGAGCTGTTCTGCCACATCAGCAGCAGATGTTTGGTGAAGAGCTCCCTGATGCTCGAGATGGAGAGCAGCCTGGCCCTGCCAGAAGAAAGCGCCAGCCCAGTATGTCAGAGACAATGCCGCTGTACACTCTTTGTAAGGAAGACTTAGAAAGTATGGACAAAGAGGTGAGCAAGCGCCGCGCAGGACTCAGGCAGCGGGCAGCGGCACTCCCAGAGACCTCGGAGGCTGCTGTGTGCTGGACCTTTGAAGTGGAACTAAGATAATGTTTTCACGCAGAAGCGTACGTTCTTGGAAGCTAGCACTTGTGTCTTTCCTAAGTTTCCTATAAAATAGAGCTATAGCACATTAAGTGATGTAGCCCCAGAGTTTGGCATCAACACTTTGGACAGCCAGGTTAGGGCTTATGTTGAATTCTCAACCAGTTCACTTTCTTCCCAAGTACATAGGACAATATCTGGAGACAGTTACAGTTGTCATGTCAAGATGGGATGCTTCCAGCATCCAGTGGGCAGGGGCAAGAGGAGCTTACCCCCTACACTGTACAGAGTGCCCGTAAGGGAGTAGTCCAAGAAGCCCAGGGGGGGTTCATGTGGAGAAACCCTGGATTAGTGTTTTCAGGTGAACATAAATTTTAAACATATGTACACACAAATTATGACTAGCAGTTTCTTGTATCATTTTAAAATACTATACAGTTTTAGGGAATGTAAGTAGTAAGTATTTTTTTCAAATACTTATGGGGATAATGATACTAGGATTCCATATCTACTTGGAATTAAGCCTAATAACAGTGGAAATTTTTCATAGGACTGAAACAAAACTAAACTAAAAATAATTTTGTAAATCAATTTTGTTGTATGCCTCTTGGTTTTTATTTTAAAACAGCAGACCCACCATTGCATGACTTGATGCTGATATGCAAGGTCTAGCTGTGTGATTCCTTGTCCCATGGCCTGCATTCCTGTCACCACTCCTCTGGGGCCATTGGCCAACCCTTTGGTAGGTTTCACATCTTCCAGTGCTTTTTCTGGCAAGTGGTCTATGCAGTGTCATTCTTTAATAATGTTGCCTTCTGGGTGTTTTGTGAGGGGTGGTTTATGCAGTGTTATTCTTAGGCAGACTGCTTTGAAAGGACCACTGCAGAAAGATGAGTCTTACGTAAGTGTGCAGCAGCACATCTGCCGGGATTCCATCCAGCCCTCCAATGGACAAAAGCTATGCTTAACCGAAAGACTTTGCTCCCAAAGATGCACAGCTAGCTGCAGCTGTTTATCCAGCATCCTTGCACCAAAGTCAGGAAGACTGTTTTTGTTGGATATGCCACAGAGAGCATGTAAGGAGAAAAAGTGTATTTTTAACAATAGCAGAAAAATGCACATAGTCATATTCAATCTCATCAGTAATTCAGTTTTCCATTATCTGCAGGTGATAGTTTGCCTTATAAGGATTAAATCTTTTTTTTTTTTAAAGTTCGTTGTTTCTTTATTTGCCATTTTTCCTCCTTTTTGAGGATCAGTTATTTTGCTTTGATGAAAATATTTCTTTATAAGAGTGTTCCTTGCCCACCACTTCTTTGCCCCCCAGCCCGGATGATTTGATCTAGGAATAGTATCTGCTTCCTGCTGGGCATGAGTGGGGAGGGAGCTGGTAGACCATGATGTGTTTCTGCTTGACCCCCACCACAGTCACAGTTTCCTTCCTGGCTTCCTGATTGCGTCACAGTTTTGAGTTTGCTTTCAGAAACAAGAAGTAACCTTATGCCTGAGATTGTGGAATTGAGTATGTAACATACAAGGTAGAGAGGCTCTGCAGATGGTGTAAGGAACTGAGAGATTGCCCAAGTGGCACTCTTCATGGGTTTCCTCATGATGGAAGTGGCAGAAGAAGACAACAGGGTGATACAATGCTGTTGGTTTAAAAATGACAAAGGCCAAAAGCCAAGGTCCATGTGGTCTCTAGAAGCCAGAATAGGCAGAAGCAGGATCCTTCCTGAAGGGTACATTCTGCTGACACAGCCCCTTGATTTTCATCCTGTCAGACCCACTTGGGACTTCCAGGGCTCAGAACTGGGAGACTGCATACTTGCTAAGGCAGCCTCAGCAAAGGTCCTCCTTCCCACCATTTCCCATCGGGTTTGTGGCTTCATTTATATTTGTGCTCTTGCAGTCTCCCTGTTCTTGAGTCACATAAGGCAGTCACAACCCAGGTAATCTGCTTTGTTTCTGCTGTATTGTGTCCTCAGTGAGTCAGTTGCAGTTTCTGAGACTTCTTGACCACTTTTAATGGGCTGTCATTCCCTGCAGAGGAAGAAGGAAAGGTCTTTGAGGACTACACTCCATAGCAGATAGTAAGAGGAAGGAAACTGGGTACTCCGAAGCAGGCCACTCTGTGTCCTCCTAGGGAAGGTGCATGTGTGTAACACACCTCAGTTTTTTCTTTATCCCCTTCCTCCATCATCTGTCTCTTGGCCTGGTTCCCATTTGAAAAAAATCTCCCTGTTTCATATATATATATATGTATGTATTTTTTTAAATCTGGCTGTTTTTATTTTGGTTTATCTTTTAAGAAAGATATATAATATTTAAACTTCTGTGTCTGATTTTTTTCCATTTAACTTGATGGTCTCACAGCACAAGGTGTTTTTCTACAAATGACTCAAGCTATCCTTCATGTCAGAGTAGTACTCCATTGTGTATAAGTATCACATTTTCTTTTTCTATACATCTGTTGGTGGAATTAGAGACCCCTTCTAGAATTTTAAGTATTATGAATTATGCTGCTATATAAACATCAGTATATATGTATCACTGTAATACTGTGTCTTTAACTCTTTTAGGAAGAGACCTAGAAAGAAAAAGGTAGGTCAAAAGTTGGAATTTCTGGCATTCATTTGTTGATAACGCTCCATATGACTTCCATAGTAATTGTACTGGTTTACATTGCAACCAACAGTGCAGAACAGTTCCTTTTTCCCTGCAGCCTAGCCAGCATTTGGTATTGATTTCTTGGTGATAGCCATTTGTCCTGGAATAAAATGGAATCTCGCTTTAATTTGCATTTCTCGTCAGAAATATTGAACTTTTTTTCAAGTGTGTGTTGCCATTTATACTACTTCTCCTGAGAAATGTTTCATTTCATTTGCCCAGTTTTTGATTGGGTCTTTCATTTGGAAGGGTATAAATTTTGTTTTAGGTTTTTAGTTTTTTAGAAGTTTTTTTTTTAACTTCTTTAGTTCTTTCTAGATACTAGTCCTCTGTCTGTGACAAAGTTTCTTCCCATCCTGTTGCTTATCTCTTCAGTCTTTGGGTTATGTTTGGTTTTGGTGGTTGATTGTTGGTTGGTTTTGATGGGCTCTCACTACGCAGTCCAGGCTGCCCTCAAACTCATTACATAGGCTAGGCTGGCCTCAGACTTGCAGTGACCTGTCTCAGCCTCCAGAGTGTTAGAATTACAGGTGTGCACCACCACACCCAACTGGCTGATTTGTTTGCTGAACAGAAGCTTTTTAATTTATTTAAAAAGCTAATTTGATTTTTAAAGAAAGTTGTTTCTTGTGGAATTCTGATCAGAAAGCCTTTGCCTGTGTCATCAAAAGTTTTACCAATTTTACATTCTAGCAGATTGTTTCTATTTTAACATTTAGTTCTTTGATCCATAAGTCTAGATTGAGTCTTCTCTATGGAAATAACCAGTTTTCCCAATACTATTTGCTAAAGAAGCTCCAATGTATATTTTTGGTCCCTTTGTGAAAGACCAGATGGCTGAATGTGTGTGGAGTCATTGCTGAATCCTGTTCTGTTCCAACTGTCCACATACCTGTTTTTGTGTCACTAATATATTGAGGTTTTTTTTTTAAATCACTATAGCTCTGTAATACAACTTCACACCTGGAGTTGTGATATGTTTTCTGCTTTGCCCTTGTTATCTGGGATTGCTTTTACTATTTTGGGTCTCTTCAGGTTCCATATGAATTTAAAATTTGTTTTTTCTAGTTCTATGAGGAATCTTGTTGATATTTTGATAGAGATTGCCTTAAGTCTGTGTATCAGTTTTGGAAATATGGCTATTTTTACTGTATTTGTTCTGCCTATCCAAGAATAGCAGTATCTTTCCATTTCTGATATCCTCTAAAAACTCCTTTTTCAGTGCATTGTAGTTTTCATTTTAGAGGCCTTTCACTTTCTTGTTTAGGTTAATCTTAAAGTATTTAATTTTTTTCAAGGTATTATAAGTGGTATTGTTTTCCTAATTTCTCAGTCAGTTCATTATTGGTGTACAAGAATACTAGTGATTTTTGTGTTGTGTATCCTGCTACATTACTAAATTTGTTTATCAATTCTAAGAGTTTTTTGGTGGAATTTTTTGGGTCTACTATGGAAGGGATAGTATCATCTACAAATAATGATAATTTGATGTCTTTTTCATATATGCATATATGTATATATCCCTTTTATTTATTTGTCTTGCATGATTGCCCTGGCTAATGTTCTGAGTACCATGTTGAACAGGAGTGGAGATAGTGGATATTCTTGTGTTTCTGATTTAGAGGGAAAGCTGTCAGCATTTCCCGTGTAATACCATGTTAGCAGTAGATTTGTTATAAATAGCTTTTATCAGATTGGGATGTTTCTTTTATGTTTTCTTCAGACTCTTCATCATTAATGGATGTTGGATTTTGTCAGAATCCATTTTCTTGTGTCTATTGAGATGATCTGTTTATATGATTCATATATGTTTATTGATTTGTATATGTTGAACCATCCTTGCATCCCTAAGATGAAACTTAACTTGTTTATATTGTATGATGGTTTTGGTGATTTGTTGCAATCCTCAGTATCATGTTGAGGATTTTTTTCCCTATTCTATGTTCATTAAAGAAATTGACCTGTAGTTCTTCAGTTTTGGAATCAGAAGAATGCCAACTTCCAAAATTGATGTAGAGTACTCCTTCTCTTTCAGTTTCATTAGAGTTTGAGCAACATTGATGTTAGATCTCTCCGAAATTCGTGAAGAAATAACAGTGACTCCATGAGGACCTGGGCTTTTCTTAGTTGGTAGGGTTTTTTACTACCTCAGTTTCATTGACTTTATTGGATTATTCCATATATATATATATGGTCTTGGTTCAGTTTTAATAATTCATATCTATCTTGGAATCTGTCAT